ACTATGATGGCAATGATGCTGATGCTGGTCATTTGGATGACGATGGTGATGAAGGTGGTAGTGATGATGAGGACGGCGCTTCTGCTGCGGATTCTTATTTCTATGACGAGGATAATACCCTCGACGACTATGGCGATACTGATGGTGATGACGGTGATGATGATGATGATGATGATGATGATGATGATGATGATGATGATGATGACGATGATGATGATCCTGATGATTATGATGCTGCTGATGATGATGCCGATGCTGAGGATGCAGATGATGCTATGATGACGATGCGGACGATGCTAACGATGATGCTGATGCTGATGATGATGCCGATGATGATGATGCAGGTGATGATGCTGCTGCCGATGCTGATGCTGCTGATGATGATGATGATGTTCATGATCAGGATCATGATGGCATGTACTATGAGTATGCTGCTGATGACTATGATGGCAATGATGCTGATACTGATAATTTGGATGACGATGGTGATGAAGGTGATAGTAATGATGAGGATGGCGCTTCTGCTGCGGATTTTGATGACTATTATGAGGATGATACCGGCGACGACTATGACGATACTGATGCTGATAATGTTGATACTGATGCCGACAATGATGATTCTGCTGATGATGATGGCGATGATGATGCTGATGATGCTGCTGATGATGCTGATGATGATGCTGATGATGCGGCTGCTGATGATGATGACGCTGATGCTGACTGATGATTATGCTGATGATGACGATGCTGGTGATGATGCTGCTGCTGATGATGCTGCTGCTGATGATGATGATGATCATGATTCCCCAATCAGAGCTTGCCTCTGGAGGGGTCCTAGCGGATTCATATGGTTAGGTAAGGTTTGCCGCCGATTTTCGCTGCACGCCGGGGTGCCTGGGTGCCCGGGGGGTGCCCGGGTGCCCGGGTGCCCAGGCGTGCCCGGGGGTGCCCGGGGGTGCCCGGGGGTGCCTTATAGCCCTATAGCCCTAAGCCCTATAGCCCTATAGCCCTATAGCCCTATAGCCCAATAGCCCTATAGCCCTACAACTCTATAGTCCTATAGCTCTATAGCCCTATAGCTCAATAGCCCTATGGCCCTATAGCCCCCTAGCCCTATAGCCCTGATTTTTTCAATATAATAAACAGGACCATGATGGCATGCACTATGTGAATGCTGCTGATGACTATGATGGCGATGATGCTGATACTGATAAGTTGGATGACGATGGTGATGAAGGTGGTAGTGATGATGAGGACGGCGCTTCTGTTGCGGATTCTGATGACTATGATGAGGATGATACCGACGACGACTATGACGATGCTGATGCTGTTGATGCTGATGATGATGCCGATAATGATGATTCTGGTGATGATAATGGCGATGCTGATGCTGATGATGCCGCTGCTGATGCTGATTCTGATTATGATTCAAATGATGACGCTGACGATGACGATGCTGGTAATGCTGATCGTTCTGATGATGATGCTGCTGATGCTGATGCTGAGACTGATGATGATGCTGATGTTGATGATGATGCTAATTGATGAGGGTGATGGTGCTGATGCTGAAGCTGCTTCTGATGATGTATTACAAGATTTGTTTTCATTATCAAACTTAATATTATTATTTTTAGTATCACTACCGTTATGATTATGATGATGATTATGATTATCCAGATAATGGTGGTGGTGCTGCTGTTGCTGCTGCTGGTGATGATGATGATGATGATGATGATGATGATGATGACGACGGAGCCGGGACCAATGACATTTCAAACCACGCAAAGAGGTCCATCGCTAGACAGTCCCAAGGCCGCCAGGCCCGCCGCGCCGCGATTCCAGGGGGCACACGGCACTTGGCCCGCCGACGCCGATTGCTGGCACACCAGTGATGCGGTGTGTGTGTGTGTGTGTGTGTGGATGGCGTGTGGCGGCGGCCAGCGCCCCACCCAGCGACCGACATGCGCAGGACTGGGCCAGCGTTGTGGACGACGATCAGTGGAGAGGAAGCAGGTTGCCAAATCATTCCCAGATGTCTGCAACATGTTTGAAACATCTGTCAAGCATTTTAAACAACATATTTTAAGCATGTCTGGAACTTGTTTCCAACATTCTAAATACATGTAAGTACAATGATGGAACTGTCCGAGTGCCCATTGTCATGGCATCCACATGGCCAGCGGCAGCCCGAAGAGGAAGGCGGCCAGGCCACCACCCGCCAGCCTCGTACGGTCTCCGCCAGGACCGCGTGCGCCGTGCGGCAGCCGACCGCCTGGTCGGCCAGCACCCTGGAGGCCCCGAGTAGAACGTGTGGCGTGTGGCGGGCCCGCGACCGGCGACTTCGAACGCCAACCACCCCCCACTTCGAGCGGCCAGCGGTGGCCGCCCCACGGCTGCTGCTAAGTCGGGCGTGTCCCTCCACAGGAGGAATATCCAAAAGTAGTTCGAAAATCGTCAGGGGACGTTCTTGTCAGTATTGCCGTGCATTTTTCTGGAGCATGTCTTGCGTATTTCTCATTTTTCTTCCAACGCCCGCCTGCAGGAAAACATTCAGGAGGGGAAGAAACACACAGACACAATGAATCCGCGACCCCGAGGAAAATATGGAAAAATATGGGAATTGGGCGGGAAGACAAAAACCCAGAAAATATGGGGAATCCTTTTATTTGTGTGTATTTATTTGTGTGTCCTGGGGCCCCTTGAAACATGCCCGACCTGAGACCAGCGGTGGCCGCCCGACCACCGAAACCCCCCGAGGCCCCGGCGTCGCGGGCTGCGTGCCAGGCCGGAGCCGAGGCGCGCGCGCGGCCATGGAAGCAGGAGTGCCCCGCGCGCGCGGTGCGGTGTGCCAGCCGCCAGCGCCCCAGTGGCCCGATGGGAGTACATTGGGGGCCCCTGCCAAGAAGCGCCCTGCTTGCCTCCAGGGTGCCCGGGGTTTCTTCGGTCTCGATGGTTTTTCGGAGGCCCAGAGGTTGACACCAACACCAATATCGGCCGCGTGCTTCCACCGAGGGAAGATGATCCCGATCCAGGGGATGGTGGTAATATTCGGGCTTTCTAGGTGGCCGAAAGATTACCACCAACACCGAATCCAGGATCATCTTCCTCCCGTGGAGGCAACCCCTGATGTTGGTGTTGGTGCCAATTTCCAAGCTTCCAAGTTTTGCTATGGAGAGCGTGACGTGCCCGCACCAAAAGTCAGTGGACGTCGCGGGGTCTCAGGGTCGGGTTTCCCGTGGAAGGTCTCTTGTGGATCGACCCCCACTGTGTGTGGCGAGCCAGAGGCCAGCACGGCAGCCGCGCCGAGCTTCGGGACGACCCGCCATGATCTGGGCCTCCCAGATGGGGTCGGGAGTAGCTGGGGTCGGAGGACCGCGCCGCATCGCCGCCGCGTCGCCGACGCCTCGGCGAGGGCCCGGCAGGAGGGAGCGGGCGGGGCCGGGTGGGGGCCACGTCTTCGGCCCAGGAGCGCGAACCACGTCCAGTCCGGGCGACGGGGCGAGGCCCGTGCCGCGACACCCTGGTCGGGCAAGGATCACCACCCACCAAGCCACCCCAACCCAACCCGACGGCCCAGATCTGCCCTCCACTGCCGGTGGTGGAGGGGTCTTCTTGGGAGCATCGACGAAAACACGTATGGAACCCAGACCCCCCCCCCCAACCCGAGATTCGGGTCTTCGGGTTGGGTTGGGGTGGTCTGGTAGGTAGTCCAGGGAGGGGGGGAGGGCGGGCTGCCCACCGGCCCCGCCGCGCGGGCCCCTCGGCGCACCCCCGGCCGCCGGCGAGTGCTCTCTCGCCCTGCCTCGTGGGGCCTTGGGCCGGGCCCCCGCGGCCGAGGGGGGGGCCGGGCCCCCCTCGGGCGCTGGGGCCGCGCCCAATGGAATCCTTAGGATTCCATTGGATCCAATGGATCCTTAGGAATCCTTAGGATCCAATGGAATCCTTAGGATCCATTGGATCCAATGGATCCTTAGGAATCGTTAGGAATCCTTAGGATCCCCCTGGGGCCTTAGGATCCAATGGAATCCTTAGGATTCCACTGGATCCTAAGGCCGTTGCCACTGCGACTGTCACTGCGAATGCGACTGCGACTGCGAGAGCAGCAGAATTCTACGGCTGGATTCTCACCCGAGTCTGAAGGGGAGTGCTTCCAGACGTGCTTATAAACATCGCTGTTGGGTTGCTTTGCCGGGATAATTTACTTCGGGGAAGCTCCCTCCCTCCAGCAGCCCCCGCCCCAACGCTGGACCCTTTCCCCTGATAGGTTTCTAGGGTTCCCCCCCGTCGTTGGGCGGGAGGCCCCAGCCCTGGCCTTCTCGGCACCCTGGAAGCGTAGCGCAGCCTTCTTTCCAACTTCGTTCGGAGGCCAGTAGCGGTGGTGTGCTGCCACCGAGGGGAGCTGATCCCGACCTCGCTGATGGTGGTAAGATTCGGGCTTTCTGGATGGTCGAAAGACTGCCACCACCACCGCATTCTCGAATCCTCCTCCTCCAATGGAGGCAACCCTCCTGTGTTCATGTTGGTGCCCATTCCTAGGCTTCCACATGATGCACCCCCCCCGGCCCCCGATCTCAATGATGGGTCCACCGCGGCCCACGGCGGAACAATTGGACGGCTTGGCGCCCCGCGCGAACACTGAACTGGATGGGGCACGGGGAGGCGGACCGTGCGCGAGAGCTGCCTTGCTTCTCCGGGGCAGTGCCGGGCGCACCCCGGAGGGAGGCCGACCCCCGCACGGGGGAACGGGGCAGCCGCCTGACTGGCCAGCCTGCCAGAGGGATCGTACTGATCATCATCATCGATCGGACGACAGCTTGAGTATACGGAACGACTTCCTGCGGTCACGGGGCACGTGGCCACGCCAGCATCACCTTGAACCAAGGAGGAGCTCGCAGATGCTCTCGCGGGCCTCCGCCATACGGCGGTCGTGGACAAAAGCGGCATCACAGTCGCAGCCCTCAGGAACCTCTTACGAGGCCCGGCCAGGCGCCGGTCACAAGGCATTCCTCGACCTCGCGAGCAGCCGGGGCGAGACGGGCAGTCTTCATGCCGGGCAGGGCGAGCGCGAAGCGCCCCGGGGCCATCCTTCCCACCAAGTCCGCACCACGCTTCCCTCGCTAGCGGTCGTGGCGGTCGTCGCCTACCTCCTGGCAAGGCGGGTGATGTGCGGCCCGCGTCCTGCCGGCCGCGTCGATATCGCCGTATCTCCAGTGCGCCAAGAGCAGGCGCCAGAAAGGCATCGAGAAAGGCACGGCAAGTGCTGCGCCTGCCAGCAGGACGTGCGGAAGTACTACGACGCCCTGCGAGCGATTCGCGTTGCCAGGTGGCTTAGGGACGAAACCGGTTCGTCTGACGAGGCCGCCGCCCTGGTGAAGCTGCAGGGGTGCCCGCTCGTCGTGCTCAAGGTGTGGTTTGCCTTCGCAGCGCTGAGCGCCCGCACCGTCGGCATGCACACTGGCTCCCGGAGCGCCGGCGCAAGAGGGCGCATCCCGCTGCTGGACGTGGCGTCCCAGCGGGTGCGCTTCTGACAGCCCCTCGGCTTCGCAGGCGCCGGCTCAGCATCTTTTGTGGACAGCCTCCTCGCGGCGTCCCAGGATCCGGCAGCCGCCATCCGTATTCAGGACGATTGCGCGGAGCAGCTCAGCCGGCGCTCGAGCATGCAGATCGGGGAGGAACCCCGGGAATAATTACCTCATTGCGTGGGCGGGCGCGACAACGTAGTTTCGCAACACAGATTGGACAAGAAGAAGACGCTGGGCCACATCATTGACTGCAATGGTGGTACCACCTGGTGCTATGCGGCGGCCACGTCGGCGATGCCCCGAGCCTTTTCGGCAACCTTGTCTAAGGGCTGCGCTGGGCAAGCGAGGGTGCGAAATTCCAGTTCCTGGCCAGCCGCGCTCAGTATCGCTTCTCGCGGTACGCCAGCAGCCTCGACCGCCTGCGAGGATGGGGGCGCCTTCGTGTTACGACTCCGCGCGATGACCCAGCCCCTGGCTGCCTGGACCAGGCGTTGGAAACGGCCCACGTTCACCGTGGGCACAACACGCAGGCTTGGAAGCCGCGCGTGCTCGGCTATCGCAGAGCGGAGTGGCTGAGCCGGCAGCGCCTAACCGTATCGCGCGGCAGGGATCGCGGCTGGGAGCCCGGCGAGTCATGGGCGGACCCCAGCCCCGGTGGGAAGAGAGCCAAAGTAGATCAGAGTCACCGGGGGCTGTGGAATCGCCTGAAAGGGAGATCACAAAAGACGGATGAGGACCCCACCGATGCCGGCCGGAGGTTGCCTCCCCTGAATGGGCTTCTCCCTGCGTCAACAGGGCCGACCAGCCAGGAACCCTTGGACACCCAACCCAGCCAGGGTTCGAGCCTGGTAGGTTACGAAAACCCCAGGGATGGAGGGCGAGGGGCCCTGCCACCCTCACTCGCCAACGCTGCGCCGCCCCCAACAGGCGGTGGGTTCCCCATGCCGCTGCCCCCGTAAACGCAGGAAGCGCAGCAGCATGAGGAACCCGGCGCAGGCCAACGGGGCCAGGGCAGCAGCAGCAAAGGCAGGGGGCGCCCGAAAAGGGGGCCCTCGAGGAGAGGGGCTGCGGCACCGAACCCATTTCCTGACGGGTCCGCTTGGGCCTTCAATTGAAGAGATGCCACTCCCCCATCGGTGCCGGGGTAGCCGCGGGGGGAAGGGGTTTGGCGGGCCACTCTCTGGCCCATGGGCGCCAGCATCGTTGCCACCGTGGATCTCAACGCCCGGGCCGTGCCGCACCCCCGTAGAAGGGAGCGAG